TATAACTCTACCACGGCTTCATGGGTTAGAAACACAAAAACCGGAAGATACCAAATCCTCCCAACATGATGATACCAAATCATCACAAAAGAAAACATGGCTCGAACACGGCCAAGAAAATCAAGGGCTCGAACGTGGCCAAAAACTAAAAGCTTAACGTGGAAGATCACATAGCATCCACGCCAACCGGACCATGGAAGAAAACCTATCCCCGTGTTGGCTCCTGATATTCCACTGCCAACACCGGCCTCCTAGTAGAAATTATACTTCAATTTAACGGGGTGTGAGATCAAGTCTACCTATATAGACATGTGGTTGTACGTAATATCTCACTAGGTGAGAGGGACTATGAACCGGTCCTTATGTGACCGAGGTGAGTATCTCCCACACGAATCCTCTCCAGGCACTCCTGCCAAGGCAATTTATTCCACATACATTACCCCCACTCGCCCCATGTCGAGGTTTGGTCAAATTTTACCATTCAAGTTCCATAGTTATAATTATCAAGTTCATAATACACATATCATATTAAGATAACCATTACCTTATCATATTTCCATAGTTAATTTCATGGTTATAGTTTCATTAATTCTTGAAGGGTTTCAAGTAATAGGGGTTGGGTTATTATTTAATGGAGATGGATAGTGGAAGGTTTATGGTGGAGGCTAGCAATATATGGTGGTGGTGAAAGAGAGGTGGTTAAGGGGTGGCATGTAGTGTAGAGGGAGGGGTTAGGTGGGCTTGAGGTGTGGTGGGTTCCGCTATACGGTGGGACACTGTGAAGGCGGTGTAGTCTTGACGACCGTGCAGGCAGTGGTCTTCGTTTGGTTGTGGGGTGATGTAAATCCTAGAATAAATGGGGTGACTTGAGGGGCTTCTTGGCTTCTTATCTCTTGATAGTGGTACTGACTGCGTCATTTTTCTTTTCTTTTTTTTTCCTTTTGATGATTTGAGCCCAAAAATCTTGAATATATGGGCACCAACAAGATTTCTAGGATTTTTATTCCATTCTTCTTATACAAACAATTATCTCATGGCTTCAACTTCTTGCTTTCAATGATTTACTCCATCTTCATGATATTTTCTTCAGAACTCTTCAACTGGTAGCACTTTCTTCTGGCTTTTTCTTGAATTGTTGAAACTGATTGGCACTTGAACAGTGGCTTTCGTGGGTAATTGGCATTGAGAGGCGGGGTGTCTTGAAGTGAAAGGGGCAATTGGGGGTCAAAAGGAGCAGTGGCATCGGGCGATGGAGGTGACAGCACGGATGGCGTGATGGTGCACGATGTTGGCGGCTTTTGCAGGCGGTCTTCGCGGGTTGCATGGGTGAAGAATGAGTGTGGTTGATTTCCTTCTTGTCTTCATTCTCTGATGGTCTTCCAAACATCCTAGGTGGTCTTCGTATGTATTATTTCCTACTAATCTACTCTAAGTAGCAAGGGGATGAGAGGGAAGAGCACAAGATGAGGAAAAGATCTAGTTCTAGAGAGAAAGCGTAAGGGAAGGAGAGAGAGACCTATAGGGGCAGAAGTAACTAAACAATGCAAGGGTCACTCAAAAGAATCAGCTTATAGATCAAGTAATCGGGTTCTACTTTCATGTTCCTACCATGGACGGTTATTCTATGACCTAATCTTATACTATCCTATTTTTCCTAAATACGACCTAATCTATCCTGCTGTTACTACTCGTAGTTTTGAAGGGGATGAGGAGAGAGAGAAAAGCTGTGTTTGAAATAGAAGGTCAAGGTAAGGTGAGAGTCAAGGGTTATAAGCAATTATTTTTGAAAATAGTTTTTAGAAAAATCATTCCTATCTAACGGCCACGCTAAGGGTTCGTCCTATAGTCTAAGTATAGCTCTGATACCACCGTGTTGAGCCCCTAATTTAGGGTCCTCTGTGCATCATGTATCAGTCCCTAGATCAGTAGCTGATACGCACAATTCGAACAAGATTTATATCAAAAACCATACTTTTATTGCTAATGGGGAAAACACTTTACATGGTTCGAGTTTACATAGCTTGGGCCATTGGCCTTATATCGTATATCAGAGTTTTAAGACAGCGGTCCTATATCGACGTGGCTCCATTCCTATAGGCAGCTTGGAGTGTGGACGTAACCCTAGACTTATTCTTTAAGCATATTCCTATATCCAAATCATCATAGTCCTAGCATAGCTATCTCGTACGGCTCCATCTTCATGTATACTCCAAGTATCCTATCCCTGCGAAGCTCTAGAAGTTCCACCCAAGTAGATGCTCATGTAGCTTAACTCCTAAAAACGTAGAATGGAGGGGGTTGAGTACATAAAGTACTTAGCAAGCCCTAAACTTTGGGTGGAGGAAGGTGGAAGGGAAAGTCTATATGTGGAGATGGTTATGGTGGTTGGAGTAGTTGAGGTGGATAGGTAAGGGTAGAAATAGTAAGGTGAAGTAGTTACAATTATAGGTTGGACCCTGGCAGAGTGTTACCAATCCCACCAGTTCCTGTTATTCATTACAATTACCAAATTAGTAAAATACATCTTACCAGGTAGTCATAGAAGTCTAATCATAGTATCCTATCCTAGCATTTTCCCATTCCAAGGACGTGGTTATTTGAATAGATTTAATAAATCTCTGCAGAGGTGTACAAATTTCCTTACATGATAGGCGTAGTCGACACCAGGGCTAGTGGCGTGAAAGGACTAACGAGACCTCATACCCAAAGGGACGCATCCTTAGATTTCCATATAACTCTACCATGGGTTCTCAGGGCTTGGAAACACAAAAACCGGAAGATACCAAATCCTCCCAACGTGATGATACCAAATTATCACAAAAGAAAACATGGCTCGAACACGGCCAAGAAAATCAAGGGCTCGAACATGGCCAAAAACTAAAAGCTTAACGTGGAAGATCACATAGCATCCACGCCAACCGGACCACGGAAGAAAACCTATCCCCATGTCGACTCCTGATATTCCGCTACCAACATCGGCCTCCTAGTAGAAATTATACTTCAATTTAACGGGGTGTGAGATCAAGTCTACCCATATAGATATGTGGTTGTACGTAATATCTCACTAGCTGAGATGCACTATGAACTGGTCCTTATTTGACCGAGGCGAGTATCTCCCACGGGAATCCTCTCCAGCCATTCCTGCCAAGGCAATTTATTTGACCGCGTAGGATAGAAGACGTGAGAGAACCCGATAGAGTTATTTTCCTTATTTGTGTTTCCCTGTTTGTCGACAAACAGGGAAACACAAATAAGGAAAATAACAAGCAAAACATGTAAAGCAAGCATAAACAAATAAATGATCCTAGATGGGTTGGTCCTATTAGGTGATGGGTTGGTTATCTAGGTTATCACTATTTCATCAGTCCGAAGTAAGATTTGGATAGAGGTATTCCATCCATAAGGTGGGGCTTCTACGGGTTAGGTTAAGGTGGGTGGTTGGTCTGATGGAAAACCAAACCATATTATTAGGGTTCACTATTATGTGAACCTGGAAGAGAAAGATGACTAGGTTAGGCTTTCTATAGGTTCACCGGGTTAGTGACACATACACACATGCATATGTATGTGCCTAGGGTTAAATTGATGGGCTAGATTAGGGTTAGCGGCATATACGCTCATGCATATGTATACGCCCATGATTAAGTGGAATTGAGAAACAAGGTTGCTAGGGATAGCCATACATAGGTGTATACCCGAGGTATCGGGCATATCCTTGTATGTATAGATATTCTACTATTTTAGGTGATTGGGTATGGATATATTCGAGTATGTGTCATAGTACATACACATACGCGAATATACGGGCTAACTACTGCTACGACAGAGGGCTACTACTATAGTTAATATTAAAATACAATTATAGCAAGAAAAGCAATCCAGTAGAATTTAAATGGGCACAAAAAGTGGTATGATTATGTAGTGTTTTATTTTAGAAGATTTATGGTGAAAGAATCACGGGATTCGGAATTAAAACGAATGAGTTATAAATTATCTAAGTTTATTGACTAAACACGAATAGAAAGTAACATGTATATTATGTCTACAATTTTATCTAATGAAAATGAGTGGAAATTATCTAGGTATGATCTAGGGTGACTCTAGTTTATTTTAGAATTTTCTAGGAATTTTTCTGTAATTAATAAGCTTACCTTTTAATATCCTATGTACATTCCCCGTGTGCACCTAGCGTTTTCTACCTAGGCTAGTGGCTGACGAGTGGTCCCCATCGGAGGCCAGAGCTGACCGCTACTGTGCCTGTGCACCGATCGGTGGATCGGTTCCCTCCTCCCTGTGGTCCACGTGGACCGCACTCACAGAGAAAGGGGAGAGAAGGGAGAGGGGTAGTGGCTGTCACGTGGGGCCCCTAGCGCGACGTGGCGTGCCCCCATTGGATGCGTCGACGTGGCCAGGAAGCCTCGGATTCCTCCGACTAGGCCAGGCGGTGTCTGCCTTTGCTGCACTTCCTATCGGTCAACAAGAGGGAAAGACAGACAGAGAGAGAGAGAAAAGAGAGAGGGCGAGAGAGGGAAAGCAGGGCGCGGCGGCGGCGGCGGTGGAAGGAAGAGGGGGCAGGGGAAGGCGGAGGGGAGATAGAGCAGAGGGCGCCAGCGTCGGTCCAGGCGCGGCTGGCCGGAGGTAGCCACTCTGCTGCCGTAGTGGCGCACGGCGGTGCAGGGCAAGCCGAGAAGAGGGAGAGAGATGGGAAGCAGCGCGGCTCAGCGTGAGAGAGGGAGAGAGTGGAGCAGAAGAAGTAGGGCAGGGCGGCTTGGCATAGGCGGTGGCGGGGGAGCAGAGCAGGAAGAGGGGAAGGAGAAGCAGAGGGAAGAGGCGGACCAGAGGGAGGTGAAGAGCAAAGCAAGCACGGCCACTGCGGCGACCTCCATGCTCAAGCTTGGTGAAGTGCTCGTCGAAGCAGCCATGGCCGGCTATTTATAGCCATGCTTGAGGCGGTTCGGCAGGGGAAATATCTCTGGCAACGGAGATCTTTTCCGGCAGCCATGGCAAGGCGACAGTTGGGATGGCAAGGCGACAGCTGGTTTGGCACAGTAGGTCAGCGACAGCGGAGACAACTTCACAGTGCGCCAGCTGACTTCCTGGAGAAGAGGAAGTTGACGGCCTGGGTCCACATGTCGGTGAAAGAAGGGAAGGGAAGGGATGGCTGCTGCGCGCGACGCAGAGACGACACGGCGTCCACACGGTTAGCACACTGCGCGAACGCGGCAACGCGGTGCGGCGTGGCGCGGACAGGGCTCGTGCGTGACCGGCCAAGGCTGATGCTGGGCCGAGCCCATTCGGTGGGAGAGGGGGAAAGGCACTGGGGTGGGCTGTGCCCAATCGGCAAAAGGGAGCAGTACACAGTAGACATTTTTGTATTTTGATGCAACCATGTATGTATATATGTATATGCATTATTCATTTTTGTAAATAATAAATAAGTAAAGTAACAATGCATGTATATATACATATACGATGTATTTGCTAGTTTCAAGAATATGTATATTCTAGCTTAAGGAATGCAATATAATATCGTATCCATGATATAGCCCTAAATATTTACGAAAATGTAACTAGTGTATCTAATTCGATATATTTCCTAGATATTATGTATTACTTTATAACTATGACAGAAATTAAAAGTAATGATTTCATATGTATAGAAATTAACTAAATGTAGATTGAGAAGGGAATATTAGAAGGAATAATTAAACCTATATTTTAATAATGCGACGGCTATTATGATTCCTAGTTAATTAAGAAAAGAATAAAATATTTTTTATACCTATGATGTATTATCTACCTCTATAATATAAAGAAAAGGTCTTAAATAATTCAAGAATACAATTGGTAATTAAGGGAAGTTATTTTGGTGCCGCAATTAAATTCTAGAAAAGCAATCATACAAGCATGCAAGCAAACATACAAGCATTCAAACAATCATGCAAGCATTCATTCAACCAAGATGCACGCAATGAAGCTTAAATGCGAAGCGATTTCTCTAATCTTAGAAAATATTCCTAGCGCTACAACTAAATCCTACGAGACATAGAAAAGCATATGGTGGATTTTGGTGCAAGGATTTTGGAAACATTTTCTTTTGAAATGGTTTTGTAGAAAATAACCTAATCAAGTTTTAATTGGATGTAAATTTTAAAAATTTCAAATTTTTAGTGGTTTTTAACATAAGGCAAAACACGGGTGTTATAGGAAGGCCCAGGCGTAGCGCCCGCAGCACCTATGCTACCGCTACCGAAGAACCCTACATCGAAGAAGACGCTACGGAGGATCAGCCTGCGGTGACCGAAGAGGAACCAGCGCAACAACCAACCCCAGAGCAAGTGCTCCAACAGCTCCTAGATCAGCTGCAGAGTATGCAGCAGGAGAGAGATAGGTTGGCGGCAACCTTCGCTGCAAACCAGAGGGCAGTCCAAGCATCACTATAGGCAGTGGAGATCAGGCAACAGCTGGTTGCCTTGCAAGCCGAAATACAAAGCATGCAACCCAACCAACCTCCTTCCAACACACCCAGTCAGCCCCATTCAGCAAATCAAAGCCAACCCAACCCTTCACTAGGAATGGCTGCCCAACTAACCTTCGGCACTCCTTACACCTTACCAACGCCCCCATAGAGCTATAGACTCCAAATCCCCATTGGCCGAAGGAATCCAAAACTCATCATGGCCTTCTTCTTATAAACCAATTCCCTACCCAAATTCAAAGGGAGATTCAATCCGTGACAGTTCATCACGAGTTTCGAGACAGTTGTAGCCTCTGCATGCAGAAATAACATGAAGTCATTTGTTATTGTAGCCAAAGGCGATGCATTGGCATGGTATTCAATGTTGAGGCCAAGTTTAGTATATTCATGGGAGGACCTCCACGATAAGATCATTGCAAACTTTAAAGGGTTCACCACCGAGTCATTAACATCAATGGACTTATTTTAGTGCAAGCAAAATCAAGGCGAAGCCCTGAGGGATTATTTTTAGAGATTCGTGCAGCTCAAAGCGAAGGCACCAAATCTTCTAGAGGATGTGGCAATTGAGGCAGCAATCAAAGGTCTCAGCATCCGAGCCTTGGCAGCTCATCTAGCTCAGGAGAAGCCAACCACCATAGAAGAGCTATACAATTAGTTTGAGAAGTATTGCAGGTCAGATAATGACCTTCGCGGAAGGATAGAGGAGCAAAATCAGAGCAAATAGTACCAAGAGAGCAATAGAAATGCACAAAGGGGCAACAGAAGTCAAGGCCAGTCACAGCCTCAGCAACCACCAGATTAACAAGTTTTTAATATAGAGCAGCAAGGGAACAACCAGCAACGGCAGCAAATGCCGGAGGCAACAGCAGACAAAGCTCCACAGAAGCAATACGAAGGCAAGAAATACAACCAAAGGAAGAACTAAAACAAAAATCAGGATCTAAGACAGCAAAGGCAGTATTGTTTCTTGCATGGAGAGAACAAAGGGCACATCACAAGAGATTATCAAGACACGAAGGAAACTCAAGAAAGGATAAAGAATAGGGCAAACCCTCAACCTCTGCAACAACCTGCTACAGAAGTCAACCATACCTTCACTACACCTTCACAGCAGCCATATTGCCCAATCTATCCAAGTCTTAACTCCAGTCAAATCCACCCATCCACCTTAGTAGTCGCATACTACCCTAACTTTTTACCTGCATGGCAACCAAGTACCCAGCAGCAAGGGCAGGCCAGTAATCAGCGTGCAGAATCCAACCTTACTTACGTAAACCCATGGCCTCCGCACATAACATTCATAGAGACAAACCAGCCAGCTCATGTTCACAATAGACAACTTGAAGCATTACCTCCACCACCACCACCGCCGCCATAGCTAGTTGCGCCCAAAAATGAGCCCAACCTAGAAAATCAGCTCAACCCTCATACACCACTACCCACCATTGGCATGATACTACCAATAGCCAGAGGCTCTTTAATGGAATTCCAGACAAAGCAAAAGATAGATCATCTCAGGTTTGTCAACAACATAGAAGTGCAGGGCCCAGTACGGTGCATAGATTGGTCGAAGACACCCATCACATTCTCAGAGCAAGACTTGCAATTGGAAAGCTATCCCCCACACTGATGCTATGGTGATCAAGGCCAATATAGTAGGTTGGGAAATTAACAAGGTCCTGATAGACTCTGGGAGCTCAGCAGATATCATCTTCGTTAATGCCTTCGATCAGATGAAGTTAAGCAAAAGCCAACTATAGCCTTCGGACTCCCCATTGATTGGCTTCAGAGGAAAGAAAATTGACGCATTAGGAAAAATCTCTCTGCTAGTGTCCTTCAGAGGTCAAGAAAATGCAAGAACCGAGTACATAACCTTCGACGTAGTAGACCTCTACTATCCATACAATGCCATTTTCGGTAGGGGGTTTGCAAACAAGTTCAATGCAGCAATCCATATGAGCTATTCGTGCATGAAAATACCCGCTTTGCATGGCATCATCACAGTCCACGGCAGCCAGAAGGAGGTAAGAAACATAGAAAGAGACATCTACAAGTCCCAGTGCAACGTCAATTCCGTCAAGACGGCGAGCACCAATGCGCTGGAGCCTCTGGATATGCTGAAGGACAAAACAGATCTCAAGGACCAAGAAGAAACAATATCAATCCCCCTAGAGAATGTGGTGTGCGACAGAAAAGTACTTATCGGAGGCAAACTTTCAAAGGATGAAGAAGCAGAACTAATAGAGACCCTAGCCAAAAACAAAGATGTCTTCACATGGTTAGCCTCCGATCTGCAAGGAGTCAGCAGAGACATAGTTCAGCATTCACTTGACTTGAATCCAAAAGTAAGGACAAGAAAGCAGCGGCAAAGGAAAATGTCAGAAGATAGAATTCTGGAGGCGAAGGCAGAGGTCTAGAGATTGCTAGATGCAAATGTTATTAGAGAAGTCAAATATTCAGAATAGATGGCAAATGTAGTACTGGTGCCAAAGAAAAATGGGAAAATGAGAATGTGCATAGATTTCACAGATCTAAACAAAGCTCGCAAAAAAGACCTATTTCCACTACCAAGGATCGATGCCTCCGTCGATAAGGCAGCAGGATGAAAGCGCTTTTCACTCCTGGATTGCTACTCAAGATATCACCAAATCTGGCTCAACAAAGAAGATGAGAAGACAAGTTTCACTACTCCCTTTAGAAATTATTGCTACATCAGAATGCCCGAAGGACTAAAAAATGCAGGTTCAACCTTCGTCAGAATGGCGAAGGAGATTCTTGGCCCTCAGCCATAGAAAAACATTATAGCTTATGTTGATGACATTGTAGTAATGAGCAAGAATGAAGAAGATCACATAGTAGATCTAAAAGAAACCTTCACCAATCTCAGAGAAGCAAGCCTCAAACTCAACCTAGAAAAGTGCGTCTTAGTGTCAGCAGAGAAAAAATGCTGGGATACATCATAGGGCACGAAGGCATCAGGGCAAACCTAGAAAAAATGAAAGCCATAATCTCAATGGTTGAACCATCAACCAAAAAGAAGGTCCAAAAGCTCGCCGGAAGGATAGCAGCGCTAAACAGATTTATCTCAAAATCGGCAGAGCATAGCCTCCCATTCTTCAAAGCTCTAAGAGGTAGAGACAAGGTGCAATGGGGGCTAGAACAATCCGAGGCTTTCCAGCAACTCAAAACCTACATAGCCGGTAAGCTCTTAGTGACAGTACCAGACCCGGAGGCACCACTGTTGTTATATGTCGCAGCCTCCAACCATGCAGTCAGTGGGGTGCTAGTTCAAGGAAGAAGAGTCAAAGCTCATTCAACAGCCGGTCTAATATATCTCAGAAGCTCTATCAGGAGCTAAGTTGAACTATATGGAGATTGAAAAAATAGCATATGCTGTCCTCATCTCATCAAGAAAGTTGAAGCATTACTTCCAAGCACACAAGATCATAGTACCTTCATCACAACCGCTTGGAGACATATTTAGCAACAAAGAGGCCTCCGGAAGAATAGGGAAATGGACAACTGAGGTATCCCAGTTTGAACTCAATTTTGTGCCAAGAACAGCAATCAAATCACAAGCATTAGCAGACTTTATGGCAGACTAGACACCTTTGGCACATGAAACACAACAACCCCAAGCCCAAATTTGGACACTCTACACAGATGGAGCCTGAGGGCATATAGGAGCTGGAGCCTCCGCCGTATTGATAACACCATCAGGCCTTAGAACAAAGTATGCAGCAAGGCTAGAATTCAAAGCAACAAATAACATAGCAGAATATGAAGGCCTCATACTGGGCCTCAACAAGGCGAAGGCACTCAGAGCAAAAAGGGTACTAGCAAAAATTGACTCCCAAGTTGTGGCTGGACAAGTCGAAGAGGAGTATATGGCAAGAGAACCTA